TCTTATTTGTTGGTGCCCTTTGGTTTCAGCATTCCAGTTTCCATGATTCTTTGCAATTCCTTCTTGATACTATTCTTCTTATCCATTTGAGTGACAAGTACATGCAGGTAGGAAAGTAGTTTAAGGAGTATTGGGTATGAAACCTTGCTCTGCCATTTACTGGACATTTCTAACTCATAACTCAACTCTCTAAACCTCAGCTTTTTTCTTTGTGCAAAAGTGCTGAACAAATACCTGGTACGTTGTTTTAGTGGGACTGAACACAGGAAGGACGGCTTGCTTTTCAGATTGTTGGAGGTAGATAATTCTGGCATCCTCTAGATCTGTGCAGTTTCCGAGATCTATCTCGTTTCCAAGTTAACATGTTCATTCTGTTAAATGAGTTTGTTTGTTTGTTGTTGATTTTTGCTAGACAGCTCAAGTATGAGGATGAAGGGGAGGCAAAGAGAAGACTGTGTGATTGAGTGAGAAGGCAGACCACCTTAGCTGGGGGGGCTGCTAGCTCCTTCTATTTCACCCTCCTTGCTTTAAGTCTTTGAGGCCTCTGCCATAGCCCAGGGCTATTAATAACTCCCTTCATCCAGTGTGGTATCCTTCTGGGTAGGTGAGTCACTTGTCTACGCGAAAAGAACACACTGCCAGATCCGCTTGTGTTGATGTGCTGGTGCTAAAGCTGAGGGTGAGGCTGGTGCACCAGATTTAATCTCATCCTATGAGAACGGGACCAGGTATTATACAGAAGTCAATCAAGGAATTTCTTACAGCACAAAGGCAGACATGGTACAGGAGAATGGATCTAATTTTTAAAGGTCGGTTTGTAGATGTATTTTGGTAAGAAGAGTTTCTTCTGAATACTCATGGATAACTAGATGATTATGTCTGGGAGACTAAATTGTGCTAACCCAACAGAACTGTCACTAGTAAGAGCTGCATTATTCTTGCAAATATAACTGTTTTTGTGTGCAGAGATTGTGGGGATGTGTAAGAATTTGGAGAATTAACAGTAATACCTAGTTCAATTCTAGTTAAATCATTAACTTCTCTTGTCTCCAGACTATAGTCTTGCAAAGATTTGGGGGTAGACTTCACTCCCCATTTCTCTCTCATTGTGCTGTTTCCCCCTCTAGGGTCTCAACTCAAGAGGGAGGCTAAACTTTTTAATACTCTAATGGAAAGTCAGAAACAACTGAGAAGAGAGAAAAATAAGGGATGATAACTGCAAGTGAGGCAATAGCATTGTTTTCATTACAGCCCTGTCTGAACGGATTTGGCACTGTAGATGTCAGTATGCCTGAACCATCTGCAGAGCCTAAGCCATGGGCAAGCTTTATACATATTTTCCATCTGTTAAATATAGTTATCAGAATAAACAATTTCACAACTTCACTAGACTCCTGATTCCAGTGGCCTGCAGGACTCTAAGGAGAGAACTGGGTTTTATCTACTGAAGAATTTTACAGTCCAGTTAAGAGAAGCACCAATAACCAACATACTTTTTTTGTTTCTTAACACAGTGAGAAAACTCTATATATAATTGAAGGGGATGAGAGTATTGGTCAGAATGTACAGAAATGTTGGTCTGGAACTTCCTTCTAACAGTAAGATGGGTTAGAACCTAACCCTTAGGAAGAGTCGTCCTAGATGGCTCTGGCATCAAGCCGTGCCTTTTCTCAGCTTGACACAGTGGGCGAGCAAAGTTACGTGGTGACTGCCTGTTAACTGCAGGGAGAAAGGTGAGTTGGAGAGGAACCGTCGCGAGTGAGTCTGATCATCTTCTGACATAAGTGCTTTGATGTGGTTTCCTGTGTAGGCGTCCATGGATAGGTGGCTATGCCTGCTGTGTATACCTTAACAATTCTAAAGCTAAAGGTATAAAAATAAATTTTAAGTTACTATACATGAATATAACTACTATATCTATGTTTTGATATTCACTCATTCTTGGAGTTGTCAGGAAGTAACCAGGAGGCTGAAGAGAGTTCCATGTGCAAGTACGGAAAGCCTGTAGCTGCTCAGGCAGGCTCAATGCCACAGAAAGTTCTCTGAGCTCTTCCATCAATCAACCAACCAACCAATCAAACAACCCCTTGAAAAACTGAAGATGTTTACCTGCATCTCAACAGGGTCTTATTTCAAAGAATGGATTAAGAGAAACTTAATTTCTTGTTTATTTCTATTTAAACAACACATAACAATCAGAAGTCCCAAGATTCTAGAGAACCTTATGAGATGTCACTTCCCATGTTTATACGGGTGCAGTGTCTCATCTTTCTCAGTGGTACATCTTTTCAGTGTATCTTTGTGCAAAAAAGCTTTATATGAGTACATTATCTTTGGTATTGTGTTAGATTTTAAGTGATGAACATTTTCTCAAGTGATTAATGTCTCTGCATTTGGTTTCCACTTTATATAAACAAATCATATCAAATAAGAAGCCCATCTGTTCCGTGTAGCTAGGCAAAGAAAACCAGCCCTAAAGTCAAGAACTTAATGTTATCAGTTACTAAAAAACAAAACATAAAACATAGTGAGAGTTAAAAGAAAAAAACAAAACAAAACAAAAAACAATTCTAGACTGATTTGATGTTTCCATATGCCTCTAGCCAAACTGGAATAATTGGAGAGAGCTTATTGTACGAACATCTGGAAAGCAATTTATTGAGTGGGCCTCACCATTTATTTTATTTCCTTGCTCCAGCGTCCAATATCTTTGGGCTACAAGGTGCTAATAACCTAGCCTCTTTAAATTATCTATACACAAATGAACCTTGTTCAGGAAATGCAATAGGAGGTCATATGTACCCAAGTGATGACATTGTGTTCTGTAATACATGTGATATCCAGACAGAAGGGTATAAGCACGGGTTTGAGTCATTGGGTGTAGGTATGGGTTTGGCCATGTGCCTGCAGTTAAGCTGGGTCCACCACAAGAAGTTCTGTGTGGGGCTACATGTGCACACAGGGCTTTACATTTCCTCCTTCCGTATGTATCAGTGGGTGTGTAGTCTGGTTTCTGGGCAGAGCTCACAGGTTTGAGCTGGCTGCTGACTGACCCTTTCCTCCACTTGCACTGTGCTAAGATAGCTAATGCTTGCAGAACCTACTCCCCAGAGAGTCAAACCTGCTAAACTGGCTGCTCCTTGAATGAGAATAATTACATCTGATAATGCACTGAAAAGTAATTAAGAGGAAGGGAAAATAAGAATGAGAGAAATTTTCATATAGCTTTGGAATCCTCCTGGCTGAACTAATGTTTTATGTTCTACAATCTCCACACCACCCTCTCAAGGCTCTCTGCTCCTTCCCCTTCTAGGAATGCTTTCCCTTCCACGTGCTCTTGTGGAATTGCAGAAAGTCTCAGCTCCCTTTCTCCTTGCTTTAGGCTTATAAACTCATTGAGATGGACTTTGCTGTCTTAGTATCCATTGACTTCATTGATACAAACCCACAGATAAGAATTTCCCTTTCCTTTCTGCAGTTTTCCTCCTTCTGACTACTCCTCTGTTTGCTTGGGCTTCTGTCAACCAACCACATACCACCACCTGCCTCTCTTCTAAGAGTCGCAAGGGAATTGTTTAACTCTCATCCCTGGGCCCACACAAGCTCACGCAGCTCCAAGAATAGCAAAAAGGGGGTGAGGCTGGAGTTGAGAGGTTTCTTAACTTGTGTGTTTCAGGAACTAAGAGACTCTGTCTCAATAAGTAGCATGTGGTTATTAGTATCAGTAATAAAGCACACCACGTAGTGTAACAGAAGGCAGCATAATATGGCCAATGCCATCAATGCACAGTATAATATCATATATGCTACAATTCTGACTTTAAAATATTTACATTATCAAATCACCACAAAAGGAGATAACATATTCAGGATTACCTAGGCAGTGGATGATCGCCATATTTTGTTTCAGATCAATCAAAATTAATTATAGAATAGGCTTTGCTGATCATAAGAACCAGGAGAGACTCTACTTTCAAGGGCAAAATAAAGTTTGCAGATATATATGGAAGAGTGGTAATCAGCAGTTCTTTTCAGAGAGAAAGAACCAGGTTTTGGGAGGTGTAATTTCAAATATATGCTGATGTCACATAATTAAAAGTGATACACATGAAGGATCTCTGGCTAGGTAAACAAGTAAATAGTAACTATAGTCTACTTGAGTGGTGGGGGGATTGGGAACTGATAAATGGAGAAGGATGGGAAGGGAGAAATAATTTTACATTGAAAATTTTTGACCCTTATGAATATATTTTCTTTTTGTTTAAGAGAGAGACAGAGAAAAAGAAGATGGCTTGGTTCTAACATTCCCTTTAATCTATGTACTGGTAAGAATGAGTGTCTCTCTCTCTATATGTGATGGGAAGGGGAAGCTTTTTGGAGCTTGGAAAGCTGCAGAATTAAATAGTTTTTATTGATAAATGTTGTCTGTTCACTGGTTGTAAGAATACAGTGGGGGATGACTCAAGAAGAAAGCAAGTACATAGCTCATCTCTCTTGAAATCTGCCAACTATTTATTCATTGCCTGAATTAATTTGTGTATAAATGAAATTAAATGTTTTGTTTAACAGTGATACACAACAAAAGAAAAATTAGACCTGTTAAAAGATTATAAGGGAGGTAAATCCTTCTTGTATAACCCACAGACCACAATTGCTCAGACATGTGCTTTGAACATGAACTTGAACATTGGAGCAGGAGTTTTGGGTAGGAGGGGAGTCTTTAAAATAATTTGAGAAACAATGGCATGAAAGGATGAGACCAGATCAGGGATGTACTTGCTGTATAATAGAAATGAGAAAAATGCTAGAAAAAATTAAGCTCTTCCTGCCTGAATATACCTGATGTTTAGGATATGAATGGAGATGAATGGATGATATATGGAGATGAGTGGTTGGCTCAGAGAGTTCCAGGTAGCCACGTACTTAATAACTACTGATCTGTAGAGGTGTTTTAAAATTCTGTGTGTGCTCTATTTCATTTTTTTTTTAAGACTTCAGACTGGCTTCATCCTTGGGAATTCTTCTCTGCCGTGCTGTGCATTCTCTGTGGGTCAAACATAGACGTGGACAACTGTGCGGCAATGGGAGATGAGAGGGGCATGACCCGGAAGCTCCTGGAATGCAGTCTCAGTGATAAGTTGTGTAGTAAGTACAGATTCCAGAGATGACTATCTTCTGATTTTAGGATAATGGAGACTAAGGTCTGGACAGATTCTAGAAGGATGAGTTTGATTTCTAGTAGAAAAGAAGACTGTTGATTAAAGAATGGGCACTAGAGGCCACTGTCGTTGTAGGGGGCAAATGCCAATCCGAGACCCAGATGCTGCATCCTTCATTTCAGCAGGAAAAATGAGAGAAGAGGCACGGAGCACATGTGATGGGCTAAGAAACAGCGACTTTGGGGTTTCTGATTAGAGAGTTGCTCCCAAGAGTACTTCCACTGCCTGGAAGTCCAGGGGAAGAGGGAAGAGATGATCGTGTCAAGTATGACGAGCTGAGGACTGGCAGGTGGGGGAGGCTGTTGGCTACCAGGGCAAGCCTCATCAGTCTCTTTTCTTCCTCCCTGATGTCCTGCCTCATCTATATCTCCAGTTATCCGGGAGCAGCAATATGAGATCATCATCATCCCAGCCGTGCTGGTTGGCATCTTCCTCATCCTTCTCACAGTCATCTTGTGGCTTTTTATCAGGGGACAAAGGGCCCAACGACAGTCCCCTGGACCCCAAGGTAAAGCCCAGACTGGGGTGGGACAGAGCCTCAGGGAAGATGAAGATTGCAGAAAATAAGACCATGCCTCTGTGGCCACTAGTTTGGAGGGCTGTCCCTGCAATGGGAGAGGAGGTGTGCGTCCCCTCCTGTGGGACTGAAGGAGAGTGAGCTCTTCTAGGAAGTCATGAGAAGAAACTCAATATATGCTTGTGTTAGTTGAAACAAGAGTAGGCAAGGGAGGCCTCATGTGACCTGTTCTGGCTTCTTTGTCCTATTACACTATCAGGTCTTTGGCCATATGAGTGTCTGAGCCCTGGGGAGGAAGACCTAGTGGGTCAAGTCCAAGGCTTCATTACAAGCCTTGAAGGATGAATCTTACTCTCTAATACACCCCAGCCTTGCTCTGCACCCCTGGAATATATGATGAAAAGGGGCCCCCTGCACAAGAGTCTTTGAAGTATTAAGTAGGAGACGACCTGGTGTTCTGGAGTTCCATGGAGAATACAGTGAAAGAGAATCAGCCCATACATGAAACTAAGAGTAGAAAATAGGACAAAAAGATCCTGACTTGATTGGAAACTCTGTAGTGGCTGATCCCCAATCCCTCTCTAAATTTTATCCCAATTCCCTTAAAATTCACTCTTACAGAACAACTCAAAGAAGTTGTCTAAATGTACTCTTGCTCCTTCTTGTCACATTCCCTTTTGGACATGCTAAAATAAGGCTTTTATCCCTGCCACTCCACCAGAACAGCTTTTTCCAAGATCACCAGTGGCAGCTATGTTGAGTCAGCCTCCTCTTACTGACCTGTTAAAAGCATTTGGAACAATTTTGCACTTTCTCCTTTTAAAACATGCAATTTTTCTTTTAATTCTATTGTCAGTTTCTAAATGTTCTCATTTTAGTGTTACAGTTTCAAATACTTTCTCTATTCTGATTATCGTCCCCCTTGAACTCCAGATTCTCATGTTAAACCACTGACTTTTTGGGTTGGACCTAATATACACCTCAAGTTCCTGAAGTTCCTGAAATTCCATCCTGAAATGTCCTACCCCAGTAGTTTTCCCTGACTTAGTAAATGGCAAGCCTGGTTTTCTATGTGTTCAGTCTAAAATCTTGAAAAAAAGAAAAGCATATAGGTTAAGTTAAAGTATAAGCTAGGTCTTTTAGCAGGCCAAAGTGAATCTTGCGATGGCATGATCTAACTGACACAAGGAAGACATGGGCTGTGCTCAGATTCTTTTTTTATCTGAGGAATATTTGGACATTCCAAGTTACTCCTGGCCTTTGGAGCTTCAACTGATGAACTCATTAACTCTTTGAGTCTTTTCTGGCTGTCTAGTTTTAACTGGTTAACTCTTTGAGTCTCTTCTGGTGGGCTTTACTGGCCTTATTCTTCTCTCCACCCCACTCATACCTATTTTCCTATCTAACACTTATACTGTACTGTCATCCTGAGGAAGACAGACAGGGAGTGTCATTATCCAGAGGCCCATCTTGAGTTGTCTTAGAAAGAATGGGATTATTGTAAAAGTTATGTAAGGTCGGTGTCGATGCTGGTTCACAGAGAAGCTTTAGAAGGTATCCCCCCCATTGTCCAGAGAGAAAGTTGTTAAAGGAACTTCCCTGGCAGTTCATTCCTGGCTCTTCTCTCCTGGAGTCCCTAGGACTGGGGGAAGATGATTGGTGTCATCTTTTTGTTCCAGGCATTGCCGCCGTGCCTCCATCTAGGGACCTGAACTGGGACGCAGTGGGACACGGAGGAAGTGTGTTTGTGCCACTTACGGAAACGTCAGTGGAAAGCCTCCTACGAGCCAGCACACACACCCTGGCCACGCTGCAGGTGCCCCGGGAGCAACTCTCTGAAGCTCTGGAGCAGATCTACAGTGGTAGTGGTGGGGCCATCTATCGAACCAGCATGTATACTGGGGACCCTGCTAAGCCCAAGAGTGTTGTCCTCAAGGCTTTAAAAGGTAAAAGAAGTGTCAGACTCCCTTCCCCTTTTTACTGTTCTGCCGTGAGCCCCTCACCGTGAATGCTAGAAGGCTTTGCAGACATTAGATGTTAATCAACAGATAGTTGTGATCACAACTGTGTGCAGAATAAGAAGAGAGTAGAAAGTGAAAACTTGAGACCAGTGTTCCTGGGGTCTTTCCCTAGGTCAGCCTTGCCTACAGAGGCTGTGAGAGCTGATTTTTCCATATTGGATATTACTTAGATGAGTTTCTGAGGTGGTCTCTACATTTTTCTTCACTATGTGGTATCTTTCCTGGTACTGTATTTCTTTTTTCTTGCTGATATTCATGATATGGGCCAGTAATGGTGGACCCATAAAACAGAACAAGGAAAGTCAAAAGGCTCAGCATTTTGACTTTAATGCGAACAGAATACTTGCTTATTTAGGCAGATGAAAGCCTGTTCAGTTCTAAGATCTATGATTCTGTGTTAACCTTTGGCAAAAGATCAGTGACATTGAAAATCATCTCCTAACAAGTTTCCTTTCTAGTTTGTTTTTGTCTACCCCCACTCCCCTGTGGAGCCTTGAAAATTATCATCTGAGGTTGCTTCCTGTTTTATCAGTGAAGCTCTGAAGGCTCATTGCCTCTGCTTTTTCTGTCCTCTGCAGAACCAGCCAGGCTCCAGGAGGTGCAGGATTTCTTAGGGCGAATCCAGTTCTATGAGCACCTGGGGAAGCATAAGAACCTGGTACAGCTGGTTGGCTGCTGCACGGAAGGGCTGCCGCTCTACATGTTGTTGGAGGACGTGGCTCAGGGGGACCTGCTCAGCTTTCTCTGGACCTGTCGCCGGGTGAGCAGTAGGGTACAGGGGTTAGGAGAAAAGACTTTACCTGGCTGATTAGCTGTGCACATGTTAATTGACATATGACAAAATAGAGAGACATTACAGTATGTAGCAGAGTGGCTGAGTATCACCGTGCAATACGACATCTGATGACGATAGAAACGCTCTGTCGGATGTGGTAGCCACTAATCACATGTGGCTATGGAGCACTTGATATGTGGCTGATGTGCTTGTGAAACTGAATGTTTAATTTAATTTTAAATAACATATGTTTAAATAGCCACATGTGGTTAATGGCTACCATATTGGGCTATGCAGATGTGGAGTATGAACTTGACACTCCACCTCCTACTACCTGTGTGACTTTGGGCCTGAGTTTTCTGAATCTGTAAAATGGGAATAATAATAAATGATTATAAAATTAAAATAAATTATGTATATAAAAACATAAATGTGATTGGTACATGACAAGCTAGTACTGATGTAATTTTTTTGTTGCTGTTAGTGTTAAGTGTCGTCCATTCTGTAACATCAGGCTAGTATGCAAGCCTGTCTTGAGGAGAAGCCTGCTTGTAAGTTTTCATACCTCAAACACATATTTTTAAAAATTATCACATTTAGAAATTTCCAGACTAAAAGAACAAGTCTTTTTCCTCAACATTTACCTAGTTCTCTATATATATTCCTCTATCTGAAATGCTGTGTGTTTCCCCAGTTAGTTCGTCACCAGCCAATGAGCAAGTTCAATATTAATCAGCCTCCTCAATATGCTGATTATTTTACTACTGCATATGTATGGAATAGGTACCCTGTTAACATCTTGCAGCCAGCAGTGCAAAGAGGGCAATGTGCAAATCTTGAGGCATTTTCAAGATTACCCATCTGTGCTCTAACCTCACCAGCTTCTACTTTTTGAAACTTACTGTGTCTCTGTTCTAGATCATCTTCACATGCTTTTCTCGTTGCACCAAGCTGCTTCATCTAATCAGTGTCCATTCATCTTCAGATCTCATAAAAGGCTCTCCGTGCACCTCGAACTGAATCAGTTCTTTATTCCCCACTACCGCCCCCATCATATGCTATCTTTTACATATCGTTCATGGTGCTTATAGTTATGTAACCACATATTTGTGTCTGAGCATTTGCTTTTGATTTACATGTTTGTCCCACTGTAACATCCAGACAACAGCAGACATGTTTATTTTGTTCAATTTTATATTGAGTTCCTAAGAAGTAATCTGGTACATAGTAGGCATTCAATAAAGATGTGTTGAGTTAATGTGCTCCAGGAAAACTGCTGCTTTATCCAGTGGATAGTCTTATGTGTGTATTTGTCTTTCTTATCTGCTATTCTGTTCTTCCTTCATTCTTTTATTTATTTACATTCTTTCGTGTTTTTCCAGTCCAATAAATCATTGTACTTCTCTGCATATCTGAGAATCTCTTACATCAGTCTCTCCTTGAATCTTAGGTTCTATGTTTTTGTATCTTTTCCTTAGTTTTGATATCTGCATTTAAGACAGCCTCTGCCCCTATTTTGTTTTTCAAATCTGTTCATGTCATTTTGATATAATTCTTTTTTTTCTATTTCTTTAGGATGTGATGACCATGGAGGGCCTTCTCTATGATCTCACAGAAAAACAAGTCTATCACATTGGAAAGCAGGTCCTTTTGGCCTTGGTAAGGCTGGGAAAAATGACAATAGATGGTGGGGATTTTTCCTGTTAGCCGGGTAACTGATGCAATATTTCTCATATTTAGATTCCCAAATAGGGTATATATTCTTAAGTAAATCAAGTGCCAGTAAGGGGCAGAAACTCACGCACTGATAAACTGTTTTCAGTTCTTTCTTTATGAAATTATTTATATAACATACCACAGGTTTGGTAATTCTAAGCAGGAGGTAGTCAACTTAGGGTTTTTAGAAGGAACAGGCAGTTTTTTTAAAGGGTTCCCAGTTTTAAAGGTAAAAAACCAGGACTAAGAGCTATATGTCCATTTATCTGACACTCTTTCTTCCCCATATAGGCTGATACCAACAGATGTAAAATGGGCAAATAGGGAAGCAAGTTGGGAGATAAGAGGACTGGGTGATAGGTTACAGAACCAGGAGGAAGTAACAGTTTTATACCTGAAAAACAAGAAATACTAGTTTAAACATGTTTGGTTGGAGACTTGCTCTGATGCTGAATGTGATAGGAAAAATGTATACTTTAAAAAGCACAAGGAACAAGTGGAAGAGCAGGAATAAGAAGGGGCAACAGTAAGCTCATTCCTGCACTTTAAACCAATGTAAATGAAGCAGTAAGAGAAAGAAATCAGGGTTTACAAGAAAAAAATGTACTTGAACAGAATTATTTTGCTATAGAAAATCAGGGCCCTGTGAAGCTACTATTTAAGTATTTCCTATATCTTGCTTCTTGGAGATGTGAAATATATCAGGAATCTAAATGGAATCAGGGAAAGCTTAGAAGAGAAGGTGAGAAAGAATAGCAGTTACAGTTACAATTCCCACGCAGCACCCAAGAGAGCACATCCTGTAAATGACAGTCACCTACAATGTTTGGAGAGCATTGGCATGTTCTCGCGATAAAGTTCAGAAGTCAGGGTACAGCCTATGTTGCCTTCTGAACCATAACTGCAGTGGTGCCGCCGAGGGATGCACTGATCACACTCATGCATTCATCAGAGCCCATTAGTTATAAGGCAATATCATACTATTTTTTCTTACTTTTAACTGCCTCAAAGTCACTACATTTTAAAGTTATTCTCATCACAGTTTACTTTCTTGGTCCTAAAATTTCATCAGAGGCAGACAACCACTAGTCACTGTTTCCTTTATCATTACTGACTGGAAATTACCACCTTAATCTTTTATTTTGTTATACAATTCTTGTTTAGTTTAGTAAGCCTAGACCTTAGTCTCTAGCTTTTTGGTTATAGATGGCTTTTCAGCTTCTCCATGTGTCTTGAAAAGCCTGACGCTGGGGGAGATGAATCCAGCAAATCAATGTCATCCAGGTGTAATGGTTCTCAAATGCCTTTGTTCTATGCTAGAATCATCTTGATATCTCTTGAAAATGCAGATTCCCTCTTCTACAGCATAGATAAGATAGTCATTAACTTAATAATATATTATTAGAACATATACTAAGATGTAATCTATGATATATAAATATGTGATCTTTATATATATGTGTTATATATATATATAACATACAGGAATAGAGGTACCTGTAATATATATATATTACAGGTACCTCTTCTTAGATTTTAGTTAAGTAAATCTGGGAGGAAAAGTCTTGTTTTTAAAAGCTCTCAGGAAGTTCTGATTTGTAGGCTGGCTTGAGAATTAGTAGTAGAATTTGTAGTGCTTCCTATGAATTAGATTCCTGGTTCTGGTCACTACCACCCAATAACTGCGTGGCCTTGGGCAAACATTGAGGTTTATCTAAAAGATACTTCCCTAACTCACCTCACTTAGTTATTTTAGGAAAAAAATGGCATGATGTAAAGCCCTACATAAATTCATTATCATGACACTCAGTGTCACCTTTTTTGGGGCCTGCTGCTGGAAACTTGGGACCTACTCCTTTTTCTGTTGTCTATCTGCATCTTATCTGGAGGAATGTGCAATCAGGCAGGCATCATAGCGTGACACAGAGGGGGTGATTATACTTTTCAGACCAAGTATAATGTCATTCGGATGATTTGGAGACAATGCAAAAGTGATTCATTATCATGACTTGGAGGTGACAGATCATTATTAATGAGACTTGTTCAGAGAGAAAATGTCTTTGTCTTTTTGAGGATTCCTAGGACTTGTCTCCTTGTCTGTGACCCAAGCCGTGACCCCAGATAGCCAACCCATCTTTGATTTTATGTTGGCAGGAATTTCTCCAGGATAAGCACCTGTTCCATGGGGATGTGGCAGCCAGGAACATCCTGATCCAAAGTGATCTCACTGCCAAGCTCTGTGGCCTGGGCCTGGCTTATGAAGTGTACACCCAAGGGGCCATATCCTCCACTCGCACCATACCTGTCAAGTGGCTCGCCCCGGAATGGCTCCTGTTGAGACCAGCTGGCATCAGAGCAGACATGTGCGGTTTGTTCCTGATCTTTGCATTTCTTCCCTTCTTGACATAGGTGTCTTCCCGTCCCCGACCATGACTAGATCTGTTGTCAGTTATGTCCACAAGTGACCTCTCTACTTAGAAGTCAGGGTCACAAGCAGAAATGTGTGAAATGTGACAGAGCTCATATTTGGCACCTGGCTGCAATCCTTTTTAGTGCCTTTGAAGTATTCCTTCTGTATGAGAGTAGCAGCCTGAGTTAGGAAAGGAAAAATAAAAATCAAAAGAGTATTCATACCAGTATCCAAGGACTTAATCTAGTAGAGTTCCTTTTATGTGAAGGAGGTGGGTCCACTTAAAAGTTCAGTTAAACCAAGAATTATTAAAATAAAAAGAACTACACATACCTAAAATTATTTAATTTAAAACAGATAAATAGATACTTATTTGTCAATCTTTTGGTAGAGGGCCAAAGCCCTTTTTGTAAGGGTGGACCTGCTAAATGAAGCTATATGTTGTGTTTCTTGTATAAATAGCATCCATAATGAATTATTTTTGAGTTTCAGTTTGGGATTCTAAATAGAGTGAGAAATTGGAAAACAGTTGTGAAGCAACCTGACTGCAGACATTTATTGTTATTTTTCCCAGTTTTCTATAGTTGCCTCACCCATACAATTTGACAACACTTTCTTTTAAGCAGCTTTTTTTTATAGAATATTTTCAATACATTCAACCCAGTTTTCAGGGAGGCAATCAATACATTTTTGCATTTATATTTAATCAGCTTACAAAATATTCAATTGATTACATAATTACAGTTACACATATGATTGGCATAAGCAGTATTGTAAGGAATCACAACTGACTTTTGGTAACCATCTAACTCACCTGCCTGGAGAAGCACACAGATGTAACACAGAATATCTTACTAGCCATGGATGTCATGAGCAGTTGAGGCAATTTAGAACATCAGTTAATATGGTGAGTCAATTAAGAGACCCCATTTATGCTTCACTGATACCTGCTTTTCAATAGAGGTCTGGGAGTAATAGGCTTAACTGGAAAATATTGCTAATTTAATGATGATACTATAGAATAGAGAAATATACCTCTCTTCACTCTTATTGCTTAAGCAAATACCTATTCCAATTATGTGTAAGGCTGGCTCTGCTAATATTTTTCCTAGTTTTGGGCAATTAGATCTCCTGAGGAAATAGCAGATAAGTGATGAACTTCATTTGGCCTTGTGCTAAGAATAAAGTCTGGAATTTTCAGCAGGAAGGAAAAGAGAGATGAAAAAGATGCAGAGGTGGATTTCTTTATGTTTGGGTGACTGTGTTTGTAAGACTGCACACACACACAATTTAACAAATAATACTAAACACCTACTAAAGTGAAATATAAGGAGAAAGAAGACATAAATTCAGTCCTTAAAAAGATTAGACTCTAAGGGGATAGGACAGAATGCTTTCACATGGCACTATTACTCTGCCTATTATGTCAGACACCACCAATTCTCCTTACTAACCTTCTTTATAGGATTCTTACTGAAGGCCCCTGATATTTTAAATGAGCTCCCTTTAGGAAAGGCAGAAATAAAAATTAAGTAAATGGCTTTGTTTCTCTTATAGCTGGTCCTTCGGAATCCTGCTTTATGAGATGGTGACTCTAGGTAAGGAGGATCCCTGAAGTAGTGTGTACCTGTATGCAAACAGGCAAGGATGGCATGGGTGGTGGATGACATGTGCTGGCAGGAGGGGTTTCAGTACAGTCTCTGAGGTTTGTACTGGGCTGACATGAAATCCTTCTCCTCCTTTGAACTTTCTTTTGCTTTCTCTCTTTCCTCACCACTACCCATTTCAGAGGATATTAAGATTTAAAGGATAATTCCAAGAGTGATCTTGCATAAACAAAAAAATACTGCCTTCCGATTTATTAAATCATTTGAGAAACTGCAGCAACTTCCCGCGTCTGGAGGAATGGAGGGCAGGTCTTCTTTCTCACTTTGCTCTATTTTGTTACTTTCCCAAAAACTCAACATTCTCCTAAATTATCAATTTTTTCCCAAGAAACTTTTTTCCTAAAACTCTTTAAGCTATATCTTTACTTGATCAGCAGAGATAAACTGTATTGTACCAGTATTTTTCCTATGGCTCTACCTTTTGCAGGCAGTTAGCCCAGGTGGATGGAGACTAGTGCTATAGTTCATATTCTGAAGGACCTCTCATTCTTTCCATACCAACAGGGGCACCACCATATCCTGAAGTCCCTCCTACCAGCATCCTACAGCATCTCCAAAGAAGGAAAATCATGAAGAGACCCAGTAGTTGCACACCTACCATGTAAGTGGATTTTAAAGTGTACTCTCCTCTCATTCCAAATCCCTTTGCTCTTCATCAGTCGTTTTCATAGTCACTCAGATGATCCCCAGCTGTCCTTGATGTGTTAATGTACAGTCTTAGATCAAACTTATGCAGTAAACACATCTCATATATCACATACCACATACATATACACACATATCATATATATGTATATAGGCATGTATGTGTATATGTACACATACACATACATACAGTGTTGAGGCAACCACTGAAAACGAGATGAGAAACTCATTTCCCCATCCAGATATTAAGTTCTTCAAGATCAGGTGCTTTAATCAGTTAAGAGTCTGTATCAAGGACAGCCTTTTACTTGTTGAAAGCCTATAAGAAACATTTCTCAGCAGTTTCATTCTAGGGTACCCAGTTTGAGTTTGAGGAAAGTTTCATTCCTCCAAAGGTTTCTTAAATAAGTAAGAAGAGGACCAAATCCAATGTAGGTGCACTGTTTTATTTGTCCGAACGTCAGTCTCAGTCAGAAAACTGCCAGCCTCAGTTCTAATAGAACTGCCATAAAATCCACTGCACTGCAGTTACTGACTGGTTCTTACTTAGTATTTAACTTTTAAAATTTTCTATCTGGTTTTCCAGCTCTGAGCATGTTAGATGCCAACCAAAAGAAGGCAGGTAGGAAGAAATTAGAAAGACTGGAGAAGGAGTATCCAGTATTGTCAGCAGAAAGGGACAGCTGGTAAGCCAATGTAGAGGCAGAAAGTGGAAAGATTAAAAATTACACACAGAATTTTCTAACCAATAAAGAACAAAAAGAGATGTTATTTATACACACACACATGCATACAGATAGATGTGTGTGTGTGTATGTAGTGTACTATATTGTATATATAGCACACTAATATTGGCTGCATATACTAGAATGAAATTGCTGAGAAATATTTCTTGTAGACTTTCTACATGTAAAAGGCTGTCCTTGATACTGGGGAGAGATTCTTAACTGATAAAGCACCTGATCTTGAAGAACTTAACATTTGGATGGGGAGATACCTGAAATAATGGGAAAATCAACATAAAGTGTGAGGCAATATAGTAGCATGGTTAAAAGCTCAGACTTCTGTCACAGAGTCAAGACACATATTCAGTCCAAGTCCTCGTCCTTTACTGTACATTGTTTACTTATCTTAAGACAGGTACAGTGATAATCCTGCCTCAAAGCTCTTGTGAGACTAAAATGAAGTAATGCATGTTAAGGCCCATTACCATGCCTTAGATAAGTAAGTTCTTGGTGAATGTTAGCAGTGTTTTTAAAGTAACATCTTTTACAAACTCTCATGGTTCAACATTAAAGAGTGTGGGAAGCACAGTGAAGGCTGAGGTTTAGAAGCAGAGCAATTGAATTTAAGACAAACCTGTAGGAAATGATGACTGTGGAGAGGAAGGATGTTCGAGGAACTGGGCATAGCATGAGCAAAGGCAGGGCTGGGTGCTGATAAGCGCATCTAGGGAACAGCATGACATGATTGGCTGGGGGAGAGGGGTTCAGTTAGGAAAGGCCTATAGGTAGAGAAGCGTAGAATGTCGACTCCGTATGGTAGGTGTGTTCTTGAACAGGATGAGATACGATGCAAAGTGTTTGGAAACAGACTACATTACAAACTTTCTGTAAACTAGATTGAAGAAAAGACAGGTTAAAGGTGGTAAGTAGTTTATCTAGAATAAGGTTATTTCCTGGAGAGGCTAAATAATAGAGGGAAATACCTGGATTAATGGAAGGAAACATCTAATTACATTACCCCAATTTCGTATGAATGATATTGTTTCACAGCTAATTTTGCCTGCTGTAATGTAGCTTTTACCGGCAGAAAAGTTGTAGTAATAATGTGGAATGCTGCAAGTTAGCGGCATCTAAGAATGAGAACATTTAACTTCTGAAAGAATTCTTGGCAATAGAATGAAAAAAACAAAACCCATTCTGTTATAATAATTGTAGTTTGGAAAACTTTCAGTCATTCCTGTTATGAGAAGGGCCCTGTTGAAGTGGTGATATTAAGAGAATTAATTACCATTAAGAGGATGAGAAGGAATATTATTCTCTGGGAAGAACATGTGAAACGAGAAGTAGATTAAAGAACTGCAGGATTCTATTAACATTTCTTCCTCAAACACTTGCCTTGGCACGGAAGTCAGTTTCTCATGATTCCCTTTCAGGTACAATCTTATGAAGTCCTGCTGGCGCTGGAGTGCGGACAGCCGCCCCTCTCCCAAAGAGTTACAGTCACGCCTAGAAACCGCTGCTCGGACAGCGGATGATAAGGCTGTGCTGCAAGTACCAGAGCTGGTGGTGCCTGAACTGTACGCGGCTGTGGCAGGCATCAGCATGGAGAGCCTCTCCTACAGCTACAGCATCCTTTGAAGATCCCAGAGCAGGGAAAACTTACAGATGATCATATACTCTTGGAACCAATTCCTCCAAGAACATAGACCTCCTAGTGTGGGACATAATGGGAGAAATGGCCATGGATCCTGGATTTTCTCCTACACATACTCGTAGGTGCCTGAAATGATGCTGGATGAGGGTCTACACACCATATACCCTTGAGACTGAGAAGTACAGTCTCATTTATGCCCCCGGCTTCATTTTTGCTGCCCCAATCCTAAGACCCAGAGGAGACGTGCCAGATGGGGTCATGGCAAAGGAGGTCTTAGAAACCCGCAGTGTTTGTTGCAGCGTGGCACAAGCCAGATGGTCTCAATCACCACAGGCTGGTTTCCTCCTGAAGCATGATTGTATCTAGACTATTATAAGGTCCAGAGAAATTGGAATCAAACGAAGGAACAAAAAGCTGATGAAGTTGACAAGAAAGAAAATAACAGGTTCTGTTTGCTCAGGAGTATAGATGTGGAGCAAGGTCATCCTTCAAAGAGAAGGTGGAGGAAGGAAATAAAGGTCCTCAAGTCCTGGTCCTTTCATGCAGGGCTGGAGGAGAACCATGAAGGAAAACTTTTGAGTTTCCCTTGGGTATAGATAAGAGTAGGATGGTCCCCTTTTATCAAATCTAAGACAGATGAACCTTGTTGGTACTACTTTTAATTAGAAGCCGGAGGCATCATGTCATGAATAAGAACATTCGACATACATTGTTCATCAGGCTGGCTTCCTGGTTCTTATAAGACTAGGGAGGCTGAGCCTAGGAAGTTAGTTAGGTCCTGATGAATACACTGCATGTGTATTTGACAAACAGGAAATGTGAAAACTAAGCAAGGATGCTTAGTGGGCTAGGAGGTCTTTAACAAGGGCTAGAAAATGATGTAACCTCAGACGGAAGTGTGGTAGCTTCTGGTTTTCAATCATCCATTGATGCACCATGAAACTTTTTTCATTAAATTAATATTTATTGAATGAAAGTAGGCTTTTCTGGTATACAGCTGCCAAAATCTCTACGTTTGGGGATAAATGCAAATAAATGTAAATTAATGTTCATAGAAACATTCAAGAGACAATCTATTTTATCAGACAAGGAATTCATTGTGTGTATCAAACAATGGGGCTAATATGCACCTCAAAGGGTTGCAGTGAAGTTTACATTGTGTATTTGTACAAGATCTGGCAGATAATGTGTGCTCAGTAAGTGTTAGGTTCCTTTCTTCTCCCCTTCCTATCCTTAACTATTTCCTATCTTTTTCATTTAAAATCTATGATAGCCTAGAGGAGAACTTTGGTCTGCCAGTCACACTGCAAGGAGGACATGCTTAAAGGTGATGGTATGGTACAAGTGCCACATGCCTAAAATAATGGACTCATCATTTGTGTGTGAGCATCTTTGTGATGATAGTAGTCTCTACTATTTCAAAACACCAACAATATCATGGTGATGACTATTCAGTTAAACACATGATCTGTGATTTTAAAGAATACTCTGGCGGGACACCTAAGGCTACTGTAGGAAAGAAGTTGTCAACTGACTGTTGACATTTCTGTAGAAAGTAGGATCCTGATGGAGTCATGATGAGTCTTGCAACCCAGTAACGATTCTTGCACCTATAGGAATACCACAATGATTAGTCAAGATTTAACTGGGTGGCAAGTGGCAGTACGTAAAAGAGAGGTCACAACATGATCAAGTCCTGTGGAATCTCACTGTTGCTTCTTGGCTGTTCAATGAAGTCAAATATACAAAATATTTATTTATTCAAATATTTAAAAATAACTGAATGGCAAAGCTGGTTATGCCAGATGCTGTGCGAGGTGTTAGACAGAAGAAACAGAAAGCTTTGGGTTAGTCTAGAAAGTAAGAGGCATTATGTACACAATTACACATTGTGGTAAGGGCTATGAAGAAAACGTGTGATAGTAGAAGGGGATATAAGGTGTGGACTTCCCTGAAGAAATGGCATTTAAACTGAGACCTTAGGGGTGGGTAAGGAAGCCTGACAGAGAGGAGATGAGCCTTCCAGGAGAAGGACCGTATGTGTGAAAGCTCTGAGACAAAACAAAAAAGCTTAGTTTGTTCGGGGAACTGCAAGGAGGTAAATGGGACGGGAGCATAGTGAGCCAGGAAGAAAGTGGTGCTTAATGAAACACAGCATTCATTGCTCTTTTATACTATGTTAATACTTGTTTCATTAGGAAGGAAAGCAGCAGACAATTGCTATTTTACCCATAACTTTGTTTTTCTGAATATAGGCCTGGAAAAGTAGATACAGTATTTGTTTATTCTAAGAAAACTGGGTCTTTCCCTGACCAGGCTTTTTCCAAAAGGGGGATTATATTTCTGGCATCTTTGACTTGTCTGCCAAACCAGGTATTTCCGGGCTAATGAATGGAAAAGAGAATTAAAGTATTTACCATTTAATCAAGTTAAATCCATGTTACGATTATTTTATTGTTTTGTTCTCACATCCCCTAATGTTGTTTTTCCAATTCATGCTTTATTGTTAAAAAACATTTCCAACATAGCCAGGATGTGAGCGCTCTCCTGGATACAGTGTCTAATTGAAACTTAAAAATGCAGTTTAGCTTAAAATAATCTGAACCGTAGTTTTTAAATCATGCTCACATAGAACACTAGTGTTTTTCATGCTACATTTCAGTATTTTGTTATTAAAACTGAATAACAATTTTTCCCCATTTTAAAAGAAAAGTAATTTAATGGATAGAATCTTGATTTTAACCTTGCTGTAATAATTTTATTAAAATTTAAAGATGTATTGAAATTAATAAGACTGGAAGGACAGCCTATTATAATTAATTTAACAGACTTTTTTTGTTTTGGAAATAACGGTAGTTATGCTATGTGTTAGAAACACATCACATGCTGAGAAAAATTACTAGTTTTAATAACGGAATTAAATATATCATCATGTCATAAAAATTTATCAATAGTTGTAAGTGCTAACCATATATAAACATACCTGAGAAACAATGATGTGGAAATTTCATAGTTTCTGCATGATGGTGATTCTCTTGTTAAAAAAATAATACCATTGAGCAGTTAAAAAGACATATGGTTAAAATTCCACTAAAAAGTCTATTACAGAAGAGAGGAGAGAAAGGTTATGTAAATAGATAAAGACTGAAATAGACTATCGCATTCTGACATTTTAAAAAAATTTAATTACCTTAGAATGTCTTAAACCATGTATTCTTGATTTACTACTCTGATCCATTAATGGAATGAGATAAACCTAAGAGCTTTTGTTCTGTAAATACAAAATTAAAGAACAACAAAATGAAAATAAAAAACTATCCCCTGCAGTGTATATCACAGGAAAGTCATAACATATTTCTGAAAACTAAGTAGGAATGATTCAATAATTTTAAATAGAAAGGCAAAGGGGTATAAGAATAGAGCAGACAGATCAAACGAAGAGAAAATTTTAGATGCAGGAAAAATCAGCACATTTTATAAGATTAACACTTTCAAGAAGTAATCTTCTCTGACTGTAGTCCTGACTTGACTCCTCACCATGGCGAAAAGCAATAAACTTCTAAAAACCCAAGTGGAAAATTATTTTATTAATGAATATTTTGTCTTTGATTAAACCATTAAGCCTTAATTTCAGCTAGGTTGGAAATAAAATGTTTCTTAGCTATCTCAAAGGGTGTTTTGGAGCTAACCACAGATAGGTTGCATTAGCAAAGGCAGGAATAGTTCTTTCTGGTTTCCTTTGGCTTCATTTGAGCAGCCCAAACATTTATTTTTATAAGTAAACAGTGCAGATACCAGTAAGCAGCCCTTCATTTGAAGCCTGTAACAATTGAGATTGAGATTTCTCAATGTTTGAAAAATATTTTCACTATTTCCAGCACAAGTAAAAGTGTATGAAATGGTTATTATAACTTCACCGTCCAACACTGTAGCCACTAGACACATGTGGCAATTCAAATAGTAATCTGAATTCATACAAATGAAATACTATTTATAAACAAAAACTTCAATTCCTTAGTCAAACTAGCCACACTGCAAGCACTCAGTAACCATTCAGAATACTTCCAGATATCTGTTGTATAACATCCACAGAAACACAAATGCTGTATCACTTTGCAGTCCATACTGTGACACAAGAGAGACACATTTTGGCTTTTTACAAAATATAGGAAGGACTAAATAAAGGTATTTTCATATTTCATCTTAAAAACAGATAGAGCTAGAGAGGATTAGTCTTGAGCTGAGAAGTCTTTTTAGGGGATAAAGACAGTAAGTGGCCCACAAATTAAGATCTTAACATTGTGCATTACATAAGCTCTGTTTACACAGTCACAGTTCTGGTATCTGTAACTCTATCTGCATAATCATGAAGATGACTACAGGCACCTGTGCCAAAAATCTGAAGGAAATGCATTAGGGAACCTAAAAATATTGGATGAAGCTCCTTGCAATAAACAAAATGTATCACTGCCAGTATTTTCAGAGATAATACAGAAAATGTCTAGGTTATTCTTGTAGTTAGATACAGTGACTAACTCATCCTTTTGCCTGGGACTCTCCAGGTTTTACAACTGACAGACACACATCCCAGGAAACTCCTCAGTGCTGGACAAACCAGAATGGTCACCCTAGTAGAGAGGGATGGTGCTTTATGTTGCTTTTATATTTTTTTAAATAGCAGCCTATAGTAGTACTAGAGTCATTTTTCTATAGTAATACACAATGGATGATATAGATTTCTATAGTGACAGTTATACAACTGTTAATATATCTCAGCATAGCCTGGTCCTTCTCCCTTTCTGTGAACCTTATGTTCTAACTATATGGAATTTCTTGGCGTTTCCAAATCATGAATTCTCGTACCTCTGTGCTTTTGCTCAGGCTCTTTTCTGCCTGGAGTGCTTTCCCATCCCTCTCAACACATATTAAACTTATCCAACAAGGTCTAATTCAAATAGCACATCTTGTCATAAGCCTTTTTTTATCCTTCCCTTTCAACTTCCCTTATTCCCCAATAAAGTGACTTGCTTCCTCTGCTGTACCCCAGCATTTTAAAAAGTTTTTCTTCTTACAGCATTTTCTTCCTTGTGCTAGTTATTTGTCTATTTGTCTACATGTTTGCTTTTTTTTCTAGATAAGTGCACAGGGCTCTTTATTACTAGTGTCCAGCCATTTCTGGCACATAGGAAATTCCTGTTAAAACTTATATAATGTATTGTGAATTTTAAAGTTTTAAATGAATTATGTAAGTTTATCCTCTCAATGATTCTTTGAGTTTGGCAAAGTTGACTGTAGTATATTCATTTTGTTGATAAGCAAAAGGTTCTGACTGCCATGCTCTACTAAATACCACTGAAGGTGAAAGGCCAGCAAACAGACTGGATTACTCTGTGTTCGTGTTTTAAAAAAAGGGTGATCAATAATATTTGAAAATCAGACTTCGTGTAAAAGCTCACCTTATCCTTCCCCATCCTTCAAAACCCATCTGTCTCGCCTGAGGGTTCCAGCCCTGGGCAAATTCACTCTGGATTCAGTGAGACCAAAAAATGACAATGGAATGTTTTTTGGAGTAAAGGTCTTACACCAAGCTTTATTCTTGTGATGGCAGGTCGAGAGTTAGACCACCAGCCTTTGGGGCAGTCTGCATGCAGCAAGTTGGTCTCTGCCTCTGGGCCTCTCCAGTGCCTGGCAGCCCTAGAGCACAGACAGAGCTCCTGATCTATATGGAGTCAGTGATAGCCCATTGCCAACATGGGTGCAAGCATGTGCCTGTTAGCATTGCACATGCACAGTGGGCAAGCAGAACAGGGTCAGGTGAGGATCCTGGCCATGGAACTGCTGTTTTCCCTGAACCATCACACGCTGGAGCGTTCCTTCCGCCACTTAATTGTTAAGAAAGAAGGTGGGATAAACCATTCGATCTTAGGTCCAATAAAAGCCACTAAAGGTTAACCCTTCCTGAATGAAATTTCACTATTAAAAGTAACTTAAAAGAAAAAAAAGTGACTATTAAGGATTATCAGTTTCAATGTGCCTTTCAAAATTTCAAACTTCTTGTCTGATGGATTTTTCCTACTTGTCTCAATTATAGGTTTCTAGCTGCTGGGTAACTTGTAATCATCCTCTAAGGGATGTTATAGGAACATAGCAGGCAAAAGGGGTTGTATTCCTGGTCTAACACGCTGATTCTGGGCTTTGTATTTACTCAGGCCACCAGTTAAAAGGGGAATAGTGCCACACCACCTCCCAGGACGCCAGGAGCAATAACGACCCGAAAAGTAAAGGCGATTCGCAAACTTTAGTTCTAAGCCCATAAAAAATACTATCCTATTTTCACCCTTCTGTGCTTGTCTAACGTAATATGATCTCCCTCATTTTGAAAACACTGTGCTGCCCACCCCAGTAAAAGGAAGTTCCCGCCGCCTGGGTGGCCGGAGCCGCGTGACTCGCGCCGACACCGCCTTCCCGATCTTCTCCGGGTGCCCAGGAGGTGGACCCGGCGCGCACGCAGTGACGCGCGATAACGTCAGCGCCAGGCGCTGCGCGGCACGTTGGCCCGGCCTTCCGCGGGCTTTCGGGGGACTAGGATGGCTCTGGGCAGCGACTTCTACCTCCGCTACTACGTAGGGCACAAGGGCAAGTTCGGACACGAGTTTCTGGAGTTCGAGTTTCGGCCGGACGGTGAGCAGAGGAACGGCGGCAACTGCCGCGACCTAGGGCGGCGCTGGGCGAGGGAGGTGCGCGGAGAGGCCGCAGAGGAGCGGGGTGGTGGGCGAGCCGCGGTGGGCGTGCCGGAGGCGGTGCGGGCGAGGCCCGATGGGGGCCGAGGTCGACAGGAGTTTAAGAGTAGAGGATGCGGAAGTTGGTTTTGTGAATAAAAGAGAAGTAATCTGTGTCGGCTGATTCCTTAATCCTGCCAGATACTGAGAAGTTGAACCCACGGTGATCAGGATCCTAGAGTCAGCGCACTGGAAGAGACCTTAAAAACCATCTGGTTTATCGACCTATATTACCTGAGCATTTTAAAGAGCATGCCCACCACGCGGTGGTTCAAAGGATGCTTACAGTTTTCCGGTGACTTTAACTTTCGGAATACTCATTCATCCATTTTATTCAGGCGCTGTAAATACGTCAACAGGTCTAGAGAAATGGATGAGACCTGCTCTGATGTAGGGAATCCCACGAAAATGAGTGTAATGATGTATTTTGGGTGCTTAAAGGCAGTTGTTCCCCATAGGACGCATTAAAAATACAAAAAAGGGGTGTGGTTAGTGTTACGTGAGGGAGTCAGGGGAAGCTTTCGACGGAAGGTAGGAGTTGGGATTAGCAGAAGTGACAGTAGGTATTTAATTGGCCTGTGAGGGGAGAAAAGGCAGACCGCTGAGCGCAGCATGAGCAGAGGGTGAGGTGAAACCTGCTGCTGCCTAAGTGGTGCACAGCAAATTCTATCTTCGACAGCTCTGTAGAGAGTGTTATAGTATATTGAACTCATTGCAATGAGAACAGTTCAGCTGCATGGACTTTGATTTTTTTGAATGTGTGTAATAGTAAGTTGCTTTAGTTTGCCTGGAAGAATTATATCTTGGTTGGTGTCCCACATGAAACTAACCACAAAGCAGTATGGATATTAAATGCTCTGTACATGCTTTGGATAAAGTTCTGTGAGGGCATAAAAGAAAAAGTGGGGGAGGATCACCTATTTAGGAAGTGGGAAAAATATGGCACATTTCAGTTAGAACTCAAGGTAACTACAGCCCTGCAGTTACTTGCAAATTTTAATCACATTATTCTCCCCCATGCCTCTTCTAAGTTCAGCAAAGGAGCCAAATTTACCGGACTATTCCATCTGTTCTTGTGTGATATTTTCAGTACCTTTGCCTGTGAGCAGCTTTTAGTTTGTCCATATCACTTTTAGTTAGTCATAGAAATTAAGTAGTTTATTGTTAGCAGGGAAATATTTTATTAGAACAGTGGTTCTCATCCATTTATCTGCCTCCACATCGTTCCACACACTTCCTTCAGTAATAGTGAATCCCAAAGACAGTGATTTCTAAGGGGTTCATCTCATTAGGATAACCTATTGTTTAAGAGGAGCAAGACCACATTACATCTGTACCTGGGACAACTGACAGGCCGTGCGGAGAAGCATGGGTCAGGGAGCACAAAAGTCATGATGATTAAAATTAGATATAGATCAGCAAGCAAACTGTCCAGCTTTTATCTGGAATCACCACATAGTTTGTATGCTTCTTAGTCACAATTCTAAAATAATAGCATTGTCCTGTTATAAGCGTATGTTAATTTGAGGGAAAATAATGTAAAAAGAACATTGTGGAGTTGTGGGGAAGACAGGGGCATTGGAAGAAGGTACATGTAGATCTGCATCTTGTGTGATTCTGGGCAAGTTACTTGGTTTTCTCAACTCTGCACAGGTGAGAGAATAAAACCTGCTTGTTGAGATTGTTTTACAGATTAGATTGAATGCTGTATGTAAATCATTTAGCATCAGTACAGACATAAAGTTGACCCTTGAACAATGTGGGCATTGGGGCATTGACCCCTTTGTAATTAAAAATCTAAGT